CGGCTGGGGCAGGGCCGGGTTGGGGGGGGGGCTGGGCCCTCACACCCCCTCATCCTGCAGGGTCTGGTGTTGTCGCCCCACTGCCGGGTCGCTCCTGCTCGGTTATTTAACTGTTCCTCACCCCTGCTCCCATAGCAGGGTTTGCTCTGCTTCCCGGGGCTTTCAGCTTCGCTTTCAGATGGGGTCAGAATGGGGGGACAATGGGGGCTGCCCCCAGCCCTGGCCCTGATCTCCATCACCTCCCTGTGCGGTGCTGGGTGCCCCAAGGGGGCTGTACCTCGGGGGGGTGCTCTGGGTGCTCTGGGTTCTCACCCCCTTTCCCCTCTCCTTGCAGGTGCAGAGCTGCGCAAATGAGAAGTGGGTGAGTGAGAGCAGGATGGCGACAGGGGACCCCATCCCCTCCCCACGTCCCCAGCCCCACGACAGGGTGACAACGGGGCCCCTGCTCCGGTGCTGGGTGCCCCAAGGGGGCTGTACCTCGGGGGGGTGCTCTGGGTGCTCTGGGTTCTCACCCCCTTTCCCCTCTCCTTGCAGGTGCAGAGCTGCGCAAATGAGAAGTGGGTGAGTGAGAGCAGGATGGCGACAGGGGACCCCATCCCCTCCCCACGTCCCCAGCCCCACGACAGGGTGACAACGGGGCCCCTGCTCCCCCCAGCACCCACCCACTCCTGCCTCAGGGTACCACTGGGTGCAGCACCCAGCACCCTTGCCCTGGCTCCCCTGGGACACCCTGAGACTGCAGCGCAGGGCTGGACCCACAGCCAGACCCGGGGCTACAGGACACCCCATGGGGGGCTGTGGGGTATCCTTGGGGGCCAGCAGCTCCCAAAGCTGCACACGCTAATGCCACGCACACCTTGCTCACACAACGCTGCACGTGCATGGCCCACGCTGCGCGCAGCAGCTGTGCATGCAACACACGCTGCAAACACTGCCTGCACTGCACAGACAGCCCTGGGCATGCACGGCCCTGGGCACGCACACCCCGTGCACCCACCACACTGCACACACCACACACCCCGAGCTGCGCGCACATGCACTGCAGCAGCGCCTGGCACACGCTGCACGCTTGGGATGCGCTCACATGCAGCACACACAGACAATGCGCAGGGCGCACACCTGCATGCACAGCGTGCACTGCACTGCACTGCACTGCACGGCATGTGCTGCACGCTCTGCTCACACCTCCACTGCGCGCACTGCACACAAAGCACTGCCCGCACACGCTGCACACCCTGCACACCCTGCACGTACGGCACTCCCTGCACAGACACCGAGCTGTGCACACTCACATGTGCTGCACACGTTCGCTCTGCCCTGCGTGCTGCCGGTGCAGACACTGCGCTGTGCACACTGCTTGTCCTGCGCACTGCACCGTGCACACTCCACACGGTGGGCACATGGCACAAACTGCCCCACACACACACCCCCAGCCCCACACACGCACACCATCACTGTGCACACCCACACACACACCCACAGTGCGCACACCATCACTGTGCACACCCACGCAGACACCCGCAGCGTGCACCCCTCACACGCCTACACTGTGCATACCCACATGCACCCTCACACAGCACACCCCCACAGTACGTACACCCACACTGCTCACACCCCCACACTGTGCACACCCACACCGCACACACTCCTGCACGCACACAGACACACACCTGCTGCAGACTCACAGCTCATACCTGCGCTGCCTGGGGTGCACACAGGCACTCCCCATGCACAGACACCCCACATGTGCACAGCCCAAGCAACACTCGACACCCACCCCTTGCACACCACCATCTCGGGATCCCCCTTTCCTCCCTCCCCACACCTGTCTGGTCGTCAGCTGAATTCTTGCCGGTGGGTCTGGGCGATGCGACGCCTTCCCCTTGGCAGAAGTGCCCCAGGATTACAGCTTTCTGCCCCATTTCCGTGTTTGCCTGCATCCTCATGGTAGAAAAGGACCTTTAATCCCCAGCAAATACTGCAGGAAGATTTCAGATGCCGGATAAAAAGCTTAAAGATGAAACGTTGCAAGGGTTGAAAATGCTTATAAGTGTGCAGGAAAAAGGTTATTAGCCGGGGGATGGTGCCAGGGTGCTCTGGCTGTGCTTGAGGACTGGCATTGGGTCCTCCAGTGGTTTGGGGCCAGACTCACAGCCCGTGGAGAAGAGTAGCTGAGGGGGAAGGGGGGACCCAACCGGGGCAGGGGGAGGTTTTGTTGGCTCTCGGGGACCACTCTTTCATAAAATCCTCAACTTTAGGTGAAATTTGGCTTTGGGCGGGCACATTGGCCTGGTTACGCCTCACAGTGGAGCCAAGCGTGGGGTGTGCAGGGCGCCCATGCCCCCAGCCCCGGATCAGCCCCCGGGATAACGCTGCGGCCGAAGAGAGGATTACGCCTTTGCATAACCTGTTTCTGGGGTCACCCCATCCTCCTGTCCATCCATCCATCCCAGCCTGGGGTTGCATGGGGGGGGTCCAGAGTCCCCACGCCCCAGCTAACCCCTGCGGTCCCCTCGCAGGCCCCGCCATGTTCCTGAATAAGTGTGAGGGGGACCTGGGCGAGCTGCGAAAGCCAGGGGACGGCGAGGGCACCCCACCAGCCGCCGCCGAGGAGGAGCAGCCCAAGAAGAAGCACCGGAGGAACCGCACCACCTTCACCACCTACCAGCTGCACGAGCTGGAGCGCGCCTTCGAGAAGTCCCACTACCCCGACGTCTACAGCCGCGAGGAGCTGGCCATGAAGGTCAACCTGCCAGAGGTCCGCGTGCAGGTAGGGATGACAGCTGGCGGCCCCAGCACCCCACATCTGTCTCCTGAGCGGTGGCAGAGGTACCACCCCAGCACTGGAGATCTTTGTTCTACTCCAAGCTCCACTGCATCACTCCGTGCCTCAGTTTCCCCATTGCTCAAGGTGGGAGCGGCATCACTGCAGAGCTGACTGCTCCTGCCAAAATTGGAGAAGGGATTTAATGGCTGAGCCTTGCTCCCCTGTGAGGTCCCAGTGGCTCTGTTTGGGCAGGGAGATGTTTTTTGGAGATTTTTCTCCTCTGCTGGTGGCGGCTGCTTCAGTTGATCCCACAGGAAAGCAGCCCCCTTCCAGTGCCTGATAACCCTTTCAGGGAAGAAATTTTTCCTCATATCCAATCTAACCCTCCCCTGGTGCAACTTGAAGCCATTTCCTCTTGTCCCATTGCTTGTTCCTTGTGAGAAGAAACCAACCCCCTCTCACTACACCCTCCTTTCAGGGAGCTGTAGAGGAGATAATGTCTCCCCTCAGCCTCCTCTTCTCCAGGCTGAACCCTCCCCCAGCTCCCTCAGCTGCTCCCCATTATTCTCATTCTTTAGACCCTCCACCAGCTTTGTTGCCCTTCTCTGGACACAAAGTTTGCACCAGTATAGCCCAGTGTCCACTGTCAACCGTGACCAGCCCATGGGAGATGTCCCCTTCGCAGCCCAGCCATTCATCTTCACTCTCTCTTCATGCAGCAGATGAGCCATCCCCTGTGCTGCTGGGGGCTCTGGGATCACAGGGACCAGCACTCTAACAAGCAGCTCCTGCTGATGAGAAGCCACCAGTGGCCTTGACTTGCTGGTCCCTCTCATTCCTCCTGGAACTGCGGCAATTTGGCTTCCAAAGGCTTTACTGAGGGGCTTTCGAAGGCCAGATAATGTTGTAAAGGGCTGTACGGGCACTTGTGGGGCTGGGGTGCGCATTCCCGTGGAGCAGCAAGGGCAGGGGCTGCATGGTGACACCTCTCACTTTCCACACCTCAGAGATGCCCTCAGTCTCTGGGGTTTGCAGGAGAGAGGTGTTTGGCGGAGGTGTGTGGTGCTGGGGTTGCTGGAGCACTGTGGGGCACCTCATAAGGGATGGGATACCCCATACTGGACACCCCACCTGGAGCAGTCCATGCGGGGCACCCCACATGGGATACAGCACAATGGGGCACCCCAGATGGGGCACAGCACGTGGGTACGCTCTGAGTGACCAGCTTGGCATGGTGGGGCTCACCCTGGCTCTCACCTCACAGGTCTGGTTCCAGAACCGACGAGCCAAGTGGAGGCGGCAGGAGAAGATGGAGGCCAGCTCCATGAAGCTCCATGACACCCCCGTGCTCTCCTTCAACCGACCCCCCATAACCCCCAACATGGGGCCCATGAGCAACTCCCTCCCGCTCGACCCATGGCTGACGTCCCCCATCTCCAGCGCCACCACGGTCCACAGCATCCCCGGCTTCATGGGAGCCCCCCAGGCCCTGCAACCCCCCTATGGTGGGTGGAGGCCAGCTCCATGAAGCTCCATGACACCCCCGTGCTCTCCTTCAACCGACCCCCCATAACCCCCAACATGGGGCCCATGAGCAACTCCCTCCCGCTCGACCCATGGCTGACGTCCCCCATCTCCAGCGCCACCACGGTCCACAGCATCCCCGGCTTCATGGGAGCCCCCCAGGCCCTGCAACCCCCCTATGGTGGGCACTCCTTCCTGAACACCCCCCCGCCAATGGCGCAGGGCATGCAGCCCATGGCCCCCGCGCCCTACCAGTGTGGCACCACCTTTGTGGACAAGTACCCGCTGGAGGAGGTGGACCAGAGGAGCTCCAGCATCGCCTCGCTCCGCATGAAAGCCAAGGAGCACATTCAGACCATTGACAAG